ACCTGGGGCCCCAGGGCACAAAGCTAATGACCAGGCCTCTGAACCTGAGCAAAAGAAGCTTGGGACAGTGCAACCTGTGCCCCAGCAGGAGAGCTCAACTTTAAAAGCCATGAAATAGGCAAACAAAATGAGCAAAAAGCAAAAAAGAACACTGACCATAGAGAACTATTATGGTGACAGGGAAGATCAGAATGCAAACTCAGAAGAGGACAGCATTGTCAGTATACCCAAATCCAAAACCTCAAAAGGGAATATGAACTGATCTCAAGCCCAAAAAGATCTCTTGAAAGAGCTCAAGAAGGATTTTAAAAGTCAAATAAGAGAGGTAGATCAAAAATTGGGAAAAGAAATAAGAGGTATGCAGGAGAGAGAGTCAACAACTTTGAAAAGGAAGGAGAAAAATTGAATTGTAGATGGGCCATAAAACCCAGGCAACTCCTTCAGTGTCAAAACCACTGGGCACTATTTTTCTTGAGGGTTAGTCTCACTAGAGAGAACCTTTGCTTTGGGATATAAACATTTTGGACAGTTATGCCATAGTAAAAATCCCCAATTCAGATGCGTGATTCAGCAATTATCCTAGAAGGCCCTTCTAAAGAAGGGGGACCTTGCATGCACTAAGCTTCCATCAGAGACTGCAGGGATGAGATGTCAATATTCCAGCATAGTTCTCGACCCCCCAAGTAGTTATGACTTTCTCATTCAAAAGTCAGCAGGTCTCAAGTGGATGCTTCTGCTTTCTCATGCCCATATATCCATCCTAGCAAAACTGAGTACGCAGTGCCACATCTGCCCAGCAGCAGGCCAAGGGATCCTTTCCAGCCTTTACACATTTTTGTTGTTTTTGGCCTTTCATGAGTCCATTTGGGGTTTTCTTGGCAAAGATGCTGGAGTGGTTTGCCATTTCCTTCTCCCTAACCCATTTTACAGATGAGGAAATTAAGGCAGACAGGTTTAAGTGACTTGCCCAGAGTCATATATCTAGTGAATGTCTGAGGCTGAATTTGAACTCAGGTCTATCTGACTCCAGGCCCAGTGCTCTATCCATTGCACCACCTAGCTGTCCTCTTTACAATTAGTGACAGCTAACTTTCAGTGGCCATAACGGTGGTATGATGTCATAGGTACACAGGTCATTAAGTCAGTGGTTTGGCTGCTAGCAGGCTTGTAGCAATACCTAGCATCTATTCTCCAATCCTTGGAAATAGCTAAGTTAGATTTCATCATAGATGTGCCAGGAGTATGCTGGTAAATATTTAACAACCAGCTTTTTTGTGGGGGAGGGGGGTGATAGGGAGGAAATGTATGCACAACTCATTTTTAGGTTTAATCTGCATTATTAGCATTTTCTCCATCACTTTAAGTCTAGACAGTCAACAAAACAATAAATCAAGCCCTCATTTGTAACATTTGCCAATAAAAAAAATTGAATGTAGAAAACAATTCCTTAAAAAATACAATTGGCCAAATGGAAAAAAAAAATCCACTGAAGGAAATAGAACTGGCCAAAAGGAAAAGGAGGTACAAAAGCTAACTGAAGAAAACAGTTTATTAAAAAGTAGAATTGGGCAAGTGGAAGCTAATGGCTCCAAGACATCAAGAATCAAACAAAATTAAAAGAATGAAAAACTAGAAGAAAATGTAAAATACCTCATTGGAAAAACAACTGACCTGGAAAGATCCAGGAGAGATAATTTAAGAATTATTGGTTTACTTGAAAGCCATGATCAAAAAAAGCTTGGAGAACATCTTTCAAGAAATTATCAAAGAAAACTGTTCTAAGATCTTGGAACCAGAGGGTAAAATAGTCATTGAAAGAATCCACTGATCACCTTCTGAAAGAGATCCCAAAAAGAAAACTCCAAAGAATATCATAGCCAAATTCCAGAATTATCAGATCAAGGAGAAAATACCGCGAGCAGCCAGAAAGAAAGAACTTAAATATCATTTAACCAGAGTCAGGATTACTCAGGACTTACCAGCTTCTACATTAACGGATTGTAGGGCCTGGAAAATGATATTCCATAAGGCAAAGGAGCTTGGATTACAACCAAGAATCAACTGTCTAACAAAGGTAAGTATAATCTTTCAGGAGAAAAGATGGATATTCAGTAATATAGGGGATTTTCAATCATTCCTGGTTAAAAAACAAAAACAAAAAACAAAAAACCCCAGAAAATTTGATCTTCAAATACAAGGCTCAAGAGAAGCATAAAAAGAAATGGTAAGCAGATGAACTTACCTGGAAAGACTTCATGAACTGATACTGCGTGAAGTGAGCAGAACCAGGAGAACACTGTACACAGAAACAGCAACACTGTGCAATGACCAACTTTGTTAGACTTAGCTCTTCTGAGCAATGCAGTGATCTAAGACAGTTTCGAAAGACTCATGATAGATAATACTGTCCACATCCAGAGAAACAACTATGGAGTCTGAGTACAGATTGAAGCATACTATTTTCTCTTTCTTTTGTTGTTTTTTTTGTTTTTTCTTTGTCATGGTTTTTCCCTTTTGTTCTGATTCTTCTTTTCACAACATGACTAATGTGGAAGTATGTTTAATATGGTCATACATGTATAGCCTATATCCGATTGCATGCTGTCTTGGGGGGGGAAATTTAGAACTCAAAATCTTATAAAAGCAAATAATAATTTGAGAAATATTAATTGTTTCCAGGGAGGTTGAGCCAATATAATGAAAAGGGCAATACTACTCAATTAATTTGTTCCCTCTCATCCCAACATCTTGACTCTGCCCTCATTTAATTCTAATCTCCAAACCCTTCCCCCTACCAAAATTCTTTTGGAGTCCTTGTTGGGGCAGGGGAGGGAGGAGAGTAAATTACAGGATTATAGAATTTGATTGGAAGGGACCCTAAAATTAAATCAATGCTATACAAAGGACCCGACCTAGGAAAAGTAATGAAATTCATCTGGAGGAACAAAATAAGATTATAGAGTCATAATTTTCAAAACAGTTTGGTGCTAGGTACATAATGGAGCTGATCAGTGGAATAGATTTTGTGCATGATATACAGAAGCAAATGAGCACAGGAATCTAATGTTTGATAAACTCAAAGATCCCAGCTATTGGGGTAAAAACTCAGTATTTGACGAAAACTGTTGAGAAAACTGGAAAGTAATCTGCCAGAAACTTGGCTGTAAACCAACATCTCACACCATATACTAAGATAAGCTCCAAATGGATACATGATTTAGACATAGAGTGATATTATAAGCAAATTACAGTAGCATGTAAGAAATTACTTATCAAATATTTGGATAGGGAAAGAGTTCATGACCAAACGAGATGAAAAGTTTCACAGAAAGTTAAAATGGACAGTTTTGATTATATGATATTAATTTTTTCTTTTGCACAAAACAATTAATGCAGCTAAAAATGCAGGAAATCGTTGCATCAGGCTTCTTTGATAAAGTTTCATTTCTGAGATATACAGAGAACTGAGCCAGATTACAATAGTCATTCTCCAATCAACAAATGGGCAAAGGATTTGAATACATAGTTTTCAGAGGAAGAAATCCAAGCAATTGATAGCCTTGTGAAAAAGGGTTCTAAATCACTATTAAAGAAATTAAAATTAAAGTAACTCTTAAGTACCACCTCACACCCATGAGATAGGCTTAAATTGACAAAAATAGAAAATAACAAATGCTATAGAGGCTTTGGAAAAACATGTTCTTTAAGGTGCTGTTGGTTTAACTGTGAGCTGGTCCACCTATTATTTTCCAAAGCAATTTGGAACTATGCCCAGAAAGGTATTAAACTATGTATAACCCTTTGACTTATTGGTACCACTACCATTTTCATACCCTAAAGAGATCAAAGAAAGAGGAAAAGGGGATGATAGAGAGGAGGGCAGATTGGGAAAGGGGGTAATCAGAAGCAAATACTTCTGAGGAGGGACTGGGTCAAAAGAAAGAATACAATAAACGGGGTGGGGTGGGATAGGAATAAGGGAAATAGAGTTAGTTTTTCACAGCATGTCTACTATGGAAGTGTTTTGCATAACTGCACAAGTATAGCCTATATTGAGTTGCTTGCCTTTTCAATGAGGGTGGGTAGGGAGGGAGGAAGAGAGAAAATTTGGAACCCAAAGTTTAAAAAAAACACATGTTTAAAAAAAAGTTTTCACATGCAACTGGGAAATAAGAAATACGGGAAATGGGGTACAGAAATCTATCCTACCCTACAGGAAAATAGAAGGGGAAGGGGGGAGAGATAGCAGGGAAAGCAGACTAGGGGAAGGAGTATTCAGAATGCATGCCATCTTGGGGTGGGGAGAGGGGAGAGATGGGGTGAAAATTTGGAACTCAAAATCTTGTGGAAGTAAATGTTGAAAACTAAAAATAAAAAAAAATTAAAATTAAAAAAAAAAGAAAGAAAGAGGAAAAGGACTTGCATAATCAAAAATATTTATAACTGCTCTTTTTGTGGCGACAAAGAATTGGAAACTGAGGGGATACCCAACATTTGAGGAGTGGCTGAACAAGTTATGTTATATAAATGTGACGGAATACCATTGTGCTGTAAGAAATGAAGCAGATAATTTTAGAAAAACTTAGGAAGATCTATATGAACTGATACAAAGTGAAGTCAGAACTATTAACACAGTAACATCAATAGTGTAAGGAAAATCATTTTTGAAAGATTTGAGAACTCTGATTGGACAGTGACCAACCATGATTCCAAAGGACTTATGATAAAATATGCTATCAGATGGAAAATTAATAGACTCATTATGGAATGATACTTTTTTTCCCTTCTTTTTGGATATGGCTAATGTGGGAATTTGTTTTGCATGACTGTACGTATTTGTCATGGGCTTTGTTTTTCCTTCCATCTCAGTGAGTGGGGGAAAGGAGATTTCGGAATTGAAAATAAAACAAAATTTAATTAAAAAAACAATTAGGTAAAGACTAATTAGGAAGAATGTCTTTATCTCTTTAATGGTATTTATACCATCTGTTTCTTCACAGGTTTTAATCATATCTTACCATATATCTACGTGATTTATTTCACCATCTTGCTTATCCACCGAGAAGCTCGTGATGAACACCAGTGTAAGAAGAAATATGGTTTGGCATGGGAAAAGTACTGTCAACGTGTGCCATATCGTATATTTCCATACATTTACTAATAAGCTCTTTTGTTTCAGACTTTTAAATGCTTCTGCAGTTCTAGCTTCCTTGCAAACAAAACATACCTCTTATCTTCCCATTGGGTCTGTAGGTATTTTGTTTTTTGTTTGTTTTGTTTTCTAAAGAAATGCATAGTAGAACAAATAGTGAGTCATAAATATGTAAGAAATAAGTTTGTCAAGTCAAGTTAGGTTTGTTCACCATTTAGTCACTGAAATTAGCCAGAATTTTCACATAATTTGTTTTAATAAACTTAAGGGCAAAAAAAATCAGAGTACAGATATTTGAATTAGCTTTTTAATGGAAATTTTCCTATTCCTAAGATATGAAAAGAGGACAGTCTTGTGGCAAATACACCAAACAGAAATGAAATATTTGATTTCTGGACTAGGTTCCTAGCTTTTCAGATTTGCATTTCTGGTTTGAACAGTTGATTTCATTATTCAAAAATAGAAATGATTGTGTTTGACTCAGTTTCAGAGTATGTTTAACAGCTAGTTACATTTTTGTTTCATCAGTTAGGATAGGATTTTTATTAATTACAGTTTAAGTGTATTATTTACTAGTTCCTTGAGTTAAAATTAAAATCTCTTCTGTGTTCAGTGCTGGATACCAAGATATGAGGAAGTAGTGATTTAGTAATAGGCCCTGCAGAAAAGAAAAAAAAAGTAAAAAAAAAGTAATACCTTGCTTACTTACAATTCTAAAATTACTTAAAAATGTAAATACATAGCTTTCTTTATGTATAATATGGTGACTTCATATTTTTTTCTGTACAGTATTTTGAATGTGAGGTGCAGTTGCTTATTTAGGACCAGGAATATCTTTTAACAAAAAAAATTTTCAGTATTTTTTAATTATACTTTTATGAAAGTTTTATAAAGTAATGTATTGATATGAAATTAAAGTTTTTTAAACAATCTGAGTTCACTTAAATATCGCATTGGAAAATGCTATGAAAATATAGGGATTGTAATTTTAATCCAAAGTTTGTGAATTTGGCTTTGCTACCTCAATTATAGGTTCTCAGTTGCCTTTTATACTATTACAAATAAGTAAAAATAGCTTGGACATATATATTTATATATTTTTGGAATAACATCACTATTTAAACATTTTTTACGTGAACCTGTGGTTGAAAACTTGCCATTTTGGAGTAATATTTTTGTATATTTTTGACTTTTGTAATTAAACACTGTATTTGCTACTGTTAATTTTTGCAGTTTATACTGTATTTTGTGTATCCAATAGCTACAAATTCTACTTCATTGCTGTGATTTTGTTTTTAAAATTGTTATTTTTCACCTTTGGGAACCTCATCTGCAGATGAGTTGAACACGTTCAAAATGTATTTCTTCTTTGATTTTATTAGATGTGTGTTTTTATGAAGCATAAAATCTGCCTTAAAATTTACTTAAATTTATAGGGGTCCATTATTAGCTGTCAATGGTGAAATGGTAGCAAAGTCATAAAATGTGAAAGGATTTCTATTAAAATGAGATTTTTGTGTTAAAAGTTAAATAGTTCCCAGTGTCTTAAATATATGGCAATGTAACAAAAATCTAGTGTGTTTGTTGAGGTTTTAAATTTTACATTTTGTATATGAGCCATTTGGGTTTGTAGTGTCTTGTACACTGCGATTTGAAGTATATGTAGCATAGGTTATTTTAATATGATCATGATTTTTTTTCCTCTAGCATATTCCAATCTGCAGCTTTTGATTATTTCTTTTTGGAAAAATTGTCAGATGTCACTTCAAAATATTTGTATGGTCACTGATGTATGCAAGTAGTTTCTTTTTATTACAAACACTTTCCTTTCAGTATTAAAAATAGCATGGTCTATAATATAGACCATATAGTCTATATTATATTCATTAAATGAGCTTGGGGTGGGGGGAGGGATAAATAGGCTATTTAATTAATCTTCCTGGTAGTGAAAACAAACTAACTTTCTTACACAGTGATGTGATTTCTGAGTGACATTAACTTTATCTTGTCTTCCTTTTCTTTTCATTTTTGGACACAAATTTGATAAGTAGAGGTTTTTATAATAAAATTCAAGTTGAAATAAAATTCAAAGTAGCAGTGTATTAACTTGATCACTTCTCATATATCTAGAATGTAGTTCTTTAGGTAAAAGGGACCTCAAGAGATTATTTTATTCCATCCAGATAAAGAAACAAGACCAGAGAATCAAGTATAATATAATGGTGATTTCCATGAGCCATGGAATGCTTTGGAAAAGGAAGTGGACCAAACTTGGTTCTACTTTGGACCTACTGTTGTACAAATCTTTTGAAATAGTATGTTTTTCTCAAGTCTAGGGTCTCAGGGTTTTTGTATTTCTCTTTGTACAGTGCACTGTGTAACTAAGTGCACAATATGCTTTTTGTTAAATGTCTTTTCAGGAAGTACACTGTCCTAGGTATAACAGTACCACTGGACTTTTAATTTTGTTAGTGGTTGTTTTGAAGTTTAACACTAGATGGACATTTGACAAAAGCTTGTTTCTAGCCTTTACTATCTCCTGACTGGGAGAAGACACTGCACCTTCTTTCTGGAGGGTTTTATCACTTTCCATTTAACAAATGTGAGGATTGTAGTGTTTGTTTTAAATATCGCAGTTTGGTATTTATGGAGTGACTTGTTCCAAAAAAATTTAAATTGTAAATTATTCATGCAAAATGTCCAGTATGGATGGGACTTCCATTTTTAGGGAATGGATGGATGGGTTCTCGGTCTGATCACTTAACGTCTATATACCTACCTCTGTTATTTTTCGAGTATAATTATGGGACCCCACATCCCTCCTACCCCAATTTGGAACATATGCACATGTATTCAGGCATCCAAATACCATTTTATTCTGAATTTAGGCTTAGTGTCTATGTGAAGGACAAGCAGTTTCCTTCATTTAAGATACCTTTAGGCTATTGCAAATTCTTTTGTGTTAATAAAATTATGAGCTTAATATTTTAAGTACATCTTACATTTCATTTGTATAATATGGAAAAGTTCCCAGTAAAGGGAAGGACCATTACAACAATGTCAATTCAGCAAACACCTATTAAGGACATGTGCTTATTAAAAAGATGAGACAGTTTCTTTTCTGCTGGGGGTGTTTGTGAACACAACATGAAAATAGAAAAGTTAAATATAAGGTAATTTGAAGAGGGACGGAACATTAATAAGTGAGGGAACCTCAGTATACAAAACAAAAAAGTTTCATGGTAGAGGAGGAGGTACCTTACCTGAACTTTCCTTGAAGCTAAGAATTTTGAAAGGCAGAGTTAAGGAAATTTCATTTCTAGGTTTGTGCAAATGCCCAGAGATGGAATGCTGAGTGAACCAACTAGTAGTCTGGTTGAAGTGGGGAATTTGAGAAGAGGAATACTGTAAAGGAATGCTGGAAAGGTATTTTGGAACTAGTTCACCAGCGGGCCTTAAACTCTAGGCCAGAGAGTTTGTTATTTAATCTTACAGGTAATAGAAGCTACTCAAGTTTTTTTGAGTATGGTGGTGATATGATTAGACCTGTGTCCTAGGATGGAACTGTCCCAGGGATCCATTAACTGTGAACCCAGGTCACTAGCTTCTGTTCTCTGTCTTTGCTATTGGGCCATCTCCAGGGCTCTGAATCATTTTTTTTTCTTTTTTCTTTTCTTTTTTTTTTTAAATTAATTTATTTTTAGTTTTCAACATTCACCTCCATAAGCTTTTGAGTTTTAAATTTTCTCCCCCCTTCCTCTTCACCTCCTTCCCCAAGACGGCATGCAATCTGATACAGGCTCTGCATATACATTCCTATTAAATATATTTTCATGTTAGTCACGCTGTAAAGAAGAATTAGAACCAATAGGAGGAACCCACAAGAAAGAACAAACCGAAACAAAAGGAGAAAAAGAGCAAATAGTATGCTTTGATCTGCATTCAAACTCCATAGCTCTTTCTCTGGATGTGGATAGCGTTTTCCATCATGAGACGTTTGGAGATGTCTTAGATCCTTGCATTGCTGAGAAAAGCTAAGTCTATCAAAGTTAGTCATCACACAGTGTGGCTGTTACTGTGTACAACCTTCTGGTTCTGCTCACTTCACTGAGCATCAGTCCATACAAGTCTTTCCAGGTTTTTCTGAAGTCCATTTGCTCATCATTTCTTATAGCACAATAGTGTTCCATTACATTCATATACCACAACTTGTTCAGCCATTCCCCAATTGATGGGCATCCCATCAATTTCCAATTCTTTGTCACCACAAAAAGAGCTGCTATAAATATTTTTGTACATATGGGTCCTCTTCCTGTTTTTATGATCACTTTAGGATACAGCCCTAGAAGTGGTATTGCTAGGTCAAAGGGTATGCACATTTTTATAGCCCTTTGGGCCTAGCTCCAAATAGCTCTCCAGAATGGTTGGATCACTTTACAACTCTACCAGCAATGTATTCATGTTCCAATTTTCCCACATCTCCAACATTTAATATTCTCCTGTTTTGTCATGTTAGCCAACCCAATAGGTGTGATGTGGTACCTCAAATTTGTTTTGATTTGCATTTCTCTAATCAATAGTGATTTAGAGCATTTTTTTCATATGACTATAGATAGCTTTAATTTCTTCATCTGAAAACTGCCCGTTCATATCCTTTGACCATTTATCAATTAGGGAATGACTTGTATTCTTTATGAATTTGACTTAATTCTCTATATATTTTAGAAATGAGGCCCTTATCAGAGACACTGGTTGTAAAAGTTCTTTCCCAGTTTTTTTTGCTTCCCTCCTAATATTGGTTGCATTGGCTTTGTTTGTGCAAAACCTTTTTAATTTAATGTAATCAAAATTATCCATTTTGCATTTCATAATGTTGCCTGTCTCTTGTTTGGTCATAAATTCTTCTGTTCCCCATAAAACTGACAGGTAAAGTGTTCCTTGCTTCCCAGTTTGCTTATAGTATCAGTCTTTATATCTAAATTGTGTACCAGTTTTGACTTTATTTTTGAATGTGGTGGAAGATTATGGTCTGTGCCTAGTTTCTGCTATAATCTTTTCCAGTTTTCCTAGTGTCAAATAGTGAGCTCTTATCCCAGAAGCTGGGGTCTTTGGGTTTATCAAACAGTAGATTATTATAGTCATTGACTACTGTGTCTTGCATACTTCACCTCATAAGTATGCAAGACACAGTAGTCAATGAGTTAACTCATTTAACACTTTAACTCATTTTTCTACCCTTTTTGCCCAACTTCTTTGGGCAGTACCATACATAAAAGCTGATTCATATCTACCCAAGAAGGATTGTAGCAATTTGTGACAATAGTTAATTTTCCGCTAAATTTCTTGGAGCTTTTCTAATACTAGGGAATTCATTAACCAAATTCTGAAGGTCACTGGAACCCAAGGAACATGAATTGTAATCGAGCTCCAGTCCACTCTAGGAAGTTATCAAGCCATAGCTGCAAAACTATTCCCAATAATTGATTATCAGACAGCAGATCTTTATGACTTCTAGTGTGGCCAACTGAAAAAGGCCTGAGGAGAGAGGAGTTAGAGAAGGTCTACTCCTAAAGATGTAGGGAGGTACAAAAAAAAAAAAAATCCCCAAACTTGTGGGTTGTAACCAAGGCAGTTCTCAGGGGAAAAAAAAGTCTATATTTAAATGCTTTTATCAAGAAGAGAGGAAGAAAAGATCAAGGGCCACTGAAAAAATTTATAAAGGCAATAAATAAAAAATAGCAACAAAATAGAAATTCTAAAGATTGAAGATGAGATTAGCAAAATTGAAAGTAAAAAGCCCATTTATAAACAAAATTAGTAACTATTTTGGGGAGAAAGCTTATGTTAAGTAAACTGAGAGGTAGGAGTAAAACCAAATTTCCTTTGTAAAAGATTAAAAAGAATTCATGTCAAATAAAATTAGGAGAAACTTGCCAAATCACATCCCAACAAAAGTGACAAATGGATAAATGTATAAAAAATGAATACTCATTATCAGAACAAGAAATAGAAAATAACCCAATCTTAGATAAAGAAATCATACTATGAACAGAAAAGCAAAAATGAAAAAAATGACCACATGGATTTAGAAGTCAGTTCTATTAAACATTAAAGGAAGAATGCCAATATTACACAATCTCTTTGTAAAAATAGGAAAATTCTTTCTATGTAACAAATATGGTCTTGATAACTAAGCCAAGGAGAGACAAAACAGGGAAAGAAAAATGTAGACAAATATCTTTAATGAATGTCAACTCAAAAATGTCGACTAAGATATCAAAGAGGCTGTAGCAACACATGGAAAAATTATACAGTGTGGCTTTTTCCCTCTCCTGCTGCTGGAGGAGCCGGCCGCCACCATGAATGACACTGTAACCATCAGAACCAGGAAGTTCATGACAAACTTCTTCAGCGTAAACAGATGATTATAGATGTCCTTCATCCTGGAAAGGCCACAGTGCCCAAGAATGAAATTCGAGAAAAACTGGCCAAGATGTTTGGTGGTGGCAAAACAACAGGCTTTGGCATGAT